GGGCCTGTACCAAGGTGACACCCTTTCTGCAGCTTTTGATGCACTTCTTTTAACAGAAACTGGTATATGGTTTAGTGGTATTGCCAAATTCTTTTTTGTTTTACTGACATCATAACAAAGTCCAGCCTAACAATTACACAGAAGTATAATATAGCTAAAGGAAGTAAGTTAGAAAGTTGGATTAAAAATTAATCTAATAAAGGCTAAGGTCATTAATATTCAATAACTACATATAACCTGGCAATTTAAAACTGGTAGAGTTAATATTAATGAACATAAATCAGCTAAGCCAAATCATAAACTCAAAATGGTTCGAGTACATAAGGGGCATAACTAGCCGACCTCTCATAATGTTTAAAAGGGAATTTGATAAACATCTCCAAAGAATGCCTAATCAACCAGGGGCCAGATTCACAAAGTAGCTACGGAAGTACTTATGAACGTGTACATCTTTCCTCAATCTTTGACGTCTTTGGTTACATTTATTAAACAGTTCAGAAGCATGAAAACTTCCCAATCAACTGCTGTTATTGTTATAAACAGCCTCCTGGTGCTTTGGAACTCATTAACTGTTTAATAATTGTAAACAAAGCCGCCAAAGATTGAGAAAAGATATACAGGCTCGTAAGTGCTTGCGTAACTGCTTCATGAATCTGACCCCAGGCTATGATTCATTTGTCAGACTGCGAACAGCAGTGTCTAACATCCTGGTTGACCAGATTATCAACTAGGAGGCCTGGTGAGAGACCGGGCTGCAGGGACATTGATCTTGGAACCACCTCAAGGTAGCCCAGTCATATATGCTAAAAGAAAATGCCCTTATGCATGAAAAGTATTTCATCAGTGTGTGCTTTCTATGTTAACTTAAGAATTTGAAGCAAGGAAATTAAATACAACAATGATGCAAACTATAGGTTACTCAAAATAGCATGAAAGGATGCTCACTAGACTGATGATGCAACACATTGGTTAGTTCTAAAGCTAAAATCCAAGAATTTATTATATGAACAGAGAAACTGAAAAATTACTTGGCGAGACATACTGTATAGCAAGAGGGGCAGATAAACATTGGATTTCAAAAACATTTGAATGGACTTGATAAGATAGGAAAAGACCAGGGAAAAATCAGTAGCCAAACAAATGAATAAATGTAATCAAAAGTAATTTGTTCGTGCATCCACTGGGCAAAAAAGGCTCAATGAGGCTGTGGAAATATTTTGGGGTCAGAGTTTTGCCCGACTGTGGATTGATACTGAAAGAGTGCAGCTTCTGGTAGTATTTTGTATACATATAGCTTATGAGAAGAAAATAAATGGGTTAAATTTTTTTTTTTAGTTTAATCTTACCTTGAGGTTACCTTGAGGTGTTCCCGGGGCTTAGCGTCCTCGCAGCTCGGTCGTCGACCAGGCCTCCTGGTTGCTAGAATGGTCAAGCAGGCTGTTGGACACGGCTACTTGCAGCCTGACGAGCTGGCAGCCTATTTGGCATCTTGAGGCCAAATAAATATTTTCATCTGCCACCCTGTCTAATCCTCTTTAATAATATTAATAATCATCAGCATTTTGTACTCTCGTGGAGTGCAGAGGATGTACAGGTGTTGCAGGAAAAAATGGTTAAAAGTATTAAAAGTAACATCAAACTTTTTTTTAAATTCTTTTGACACATTACAGGAAACTATTTATATACCACCAACACTAGCAAAATATCCACAGCAGTATCTCGACTGTTTCCAAGATGAGGTTTACTCCCACTGGTCTCCATACAAATTGACACAAAAACAAAATGTCAGTCTTTCATTATTCCTAACAAGCTGTATTCAGTCTTGTTCATCTAACAGTGTGAATTTTATTGTTAAATGCTGACATTTGTGTTATTGCAATTTTTCATCTGTCCTCATGGGCCTCACTATTTTAATAGTATACCACATACGAACATATCAGCCTTTCTCTTCTCATACTGCACTCACATTTAATTGCGTTACATTTCTTGATAATCATTGATAATCATCATTGAGAATAACTAAACTATCATGATTACTCTCTTTAATCTTACTCCTCATTTTTTTCCCCCTAACATTTTTATTTGTTAATTCTGTTTTAACAATACATCTGTTCTTCAGATTGCCCGTATCTTGCTTTAACTACATTTTTGCACTTGCTCCTAACCAGTATTTCGTATTTACAGATTAGTTTTAACACGCACTACTGTCTTCTAGCTGCAGTCCTTCCTAGCTTCTCCTAACAAGGTCTCTCAATGCACCAACAGGTTTCCGTTCCCTGGCTCTCTTTACTGTCAACTTGCACAATTTTATTTTTGTTATCAGTTGCAACATTTTTAGGTACAGTATTTAAACTCATGAACAGATTGAAGGACTGCTATATTTATTCTTATTTTATACAATTTTATTCTCTTATCTATTATTAATTTATTTAATTACTGTACATTCAATTTCAGTTTTTCATTTCTTACATGTGCCAACAAATTTTTAAATAATCTTAGGTTAATCTCTTATTCTATGTCACAAAACATGAAGTTGAGACACTGTAATCCAATGATTTCTAGCATGCACTACTTTCATGCTTTTCTCTAATACTCACACCTTGACTTATTCCATAATGTTATCAATATACACACTCTTAAACCTTGCAAACATTACACAGCCTTGACATGTTTATACATTTACACTACAGCACACAAACCTGAACCATACCTGGGCAGGGGTTTGAGAGTTCTTCTACTTCCCGAGCCCAGCCTGGAGCTAGGCTCGACCTTGTAATTTTTATAAAAGCTTTTCACTGCATTTAACAATATTACTTTTAACTCCACGTATATTCAACATCTGGCTTCAACACTCTTTACTATATTATGTGTTTTATCCAGATCAATAAGGGCCTTCTGTGCACTATTATCTCTTCATGGAAACCTTATACTCTATCTCTGTAGATATCTGATTCCTGCAACCTTTTCCAAAACAAATTTTATTTTAGTATAATTTTTGTTGCTTCTCTGCCATACAGTTTACCAATAGTGACCTTAGAAACTAATGCCTAATATTTATGGATACAAGTGTTAGATGCTTAACATTTATATTCATAATGCTCACCCCTTCATATAGTGTGTCACAATCACATCTCCAGTTATCTGGACCAATGTCATTTTTTCCTAATCTTCTGGCAAGTATTCCACATTTGTTTTATTCATCTCCCCATTATTTAATTATTTCTACTAAGAGCTAATCCAACATTTACTGCTTTCTCAAATTTTAATTGTCGTGTTCTCTTCTAACATAAGCAGTTTTTAGTTTAATTTGTTTATTATGCAACCCATACCCATCTGTGGGCAGTAGTGGAAAAGGTTACAGAGGTACATAATGGGGTCAGGAACTGAACTGCAAAATTCATTCAGCTAAGCAAGTTATAGTCTTGATAAGCTAATTACACAGTGTAATTAATTATTATATCAACAATGGGTTCAAGCAGCACTGACATTCACAAAAGGACTTCTTACAGTCCTTTTTACCTATCAGATTTTCACAACTCGCTCTCCAACTACTGTACCATTTACCTCATTTTTTGTTTGCCAGTATATGTTTTTCCATAATTATGCTTGATATTCCCTGTGATGTAATCACCTAATTGCTTGTTGCATGTCCATACTCTTATTAAAAAATATGTTACTAATTTCAGAAATGTTTTGATTAATTTTTCTAACTAGAGTTTCAAGCCGTTCCATTTTGTCTTGTGCACTACCGGTAGTCTTGTCACATACCCTTGGCTTTCGTCATACACCTTTGCATGTGTCGAATCCAGTTCTCTGCCTTCTCACTGTTGTTTCTTGCTACTTTCTTGTAGTCTCCGTCATGTTTAACACCATATGCTTGTTTAGCATGCCTAATCTAGACATTCATTTTATTCTCACCACCAAATGTCATTCAAACTCATTTGTCTGGTGCACCCCTTTTGCTTTCAGATCACTTCTAACTTTAATTTTGCGTTAATTGTCTAATTCACTGACTCTGCTTCTTAAGCCTTTGTTCTTTCATTTCTTACATGTTAGGTGGCGCCATCATCCACTGCCTGCTCTCTCTGACCTTACAGAGCGCTATGGTAATACGCAGATAATAAGTCATAATAATGTGGCTGAAAATTAGACACCCAAACCACAAATCTGAAAATAACAGAATTAACAACATTTTAGACTATCCTGGATAGTATTAAGTCATGTAATGGAAAAAAAGAGTGGTGGAGAAAGTCAATTTATTAGACAAGAGAGTGAGATGATAAGTAAGATGAAGGAAAGAGAGTGAGATGACTAAGATGACTACCTCAGTTTTCCAGTACAAGACTTGATAATAGTCCAGGACACCCTGAAACATTGTCAATTCTTATGTTTCCTGATTTGTGGGTTGGGTGTCTATGGTAATATGCTTAAACAGCTCAGACAGTCATACAGCTCTTGTATCACCTACATAACATGCTTCTGTTGAGAATTTTATAACCAAATAACATTCTAATTTGGCGTATGCACACATGCATGCACATTCGTAGCATCTGTGTCATTTCATTTCGAGGATTGGAAATGGCCACCCTATTTGTGGAAACAAATATCTCATCTCACAAAGGAAATGAAGTGAAAGTGACAAAATTTCACTTGTCTTGGACACTTATTGAGTCATGACTTAATGAATGTCCAGGATGAACTGAAATGTTGTCACTTTCTTTTCTTTCTATATGTGTGGGTTGGTCATCTCTGTTAGCAAGCTTATTTCCTCCTTACGTAGAATTTTTCTGAGTTCACTTACTCATCATACCATTCCACACTTCATTCTCCCTTTCTGGTAACTTAACGTGCCACAACCACTTATAGTACTATCCATTAAACATATCATCTTGATACTAAGCTTCTTACAAACTGAAGCAATACTATTCATCAAATGCACCATCACTTCACTCCTTCCAGCTTCTTTCGTTCCTCATTTATACCTCTTACATTCCACACAGCCAAACGTGCCTGCCTTTGTATTCTGGAACCCGGGCGGGCGTAGGCCCCAGATCCGAGGCTGTTTTGGCCTATAATGGGGAGAAGATAGAGAAGATGGGTCCCCAGCCCAATCTCTTCCCCCTATATCGCAGGGGATGCGGGGATGTTTGCACCACTGAGTGGTGGCCAACGGGGTCACCACATCCCTACGCCGTCTTTAAGTAATAATTTATTCATTTAATATATACATACATGACAATGTATAACCACAATGGAAAAATGAAACGAGAAATTACTTAAGCTCTTTCGTGTTAATAAACACGTGTTGACTAACATGAAAGTGCGTAAGTAATATCTTTTTTCATTTTTCCTTCGTAGTTATACACTGTCACATTATTCATCACAAGTTAATTTCTTCGTGATTTACACACACACACATACATTGTACATTTTTTAAATTTTGTGACCTTAAAAATTTTATTGAAAATTGTAAGTAATTTTTTTAATTATGTATGTAAATGTATTTTGATGGACTCAAAATTCACTCCACCTCCCTTCCCAATCACTTTAAATGCCTTTCGATTGTTGTTGAAGGGTCTGGAAGAAATACATGCCTGAAACATCTCATTAAGAATTCCACATGCTTGTTTGGCTGTCATGCAAGTAAACCAGCCGACGTTTGCTTGTGCTGTGAAATACGTTTGTATTGAGATGTATGCCTTAGCAAGACTATTAAAAATAGACATATAAATAAAGAGAAAGGTGCCAGTAAGGAAATTAAGTCAAGGAAGGGTGAACATATAATTATTTTTAAGGGAAATATGTATTAAATAAATACATATAAAAATATGGTCAATCAAGCATATGTATTTCTGGGATCATTATAAATCTTGAGAGCTGTATTTTTGAAGTGTAAACAAGAAATGTGTCTCATGAGTTACACAATATAATTTGTACATGGAAAATTACTTAAGAGAGTTAGGAACTTAATTTACATGTACAATGGCTTGTAGTGCTTTGGCAGCAGGTGTATTAGGAAATGAAAGATGGTGGTTTAGTTAGGTTGTTAGCACGGGTCCCTCAGCATTGTGTTTTAACAGGTCTCCTGGGTGATCAGCCTAATCAGCTAGACTAGACAAGCCTGATCAGCTAGACTATTGGTACTTGCAGTTTATAGTCTATGAATAAGCACAATGACCTCGCTGATCAGAGGATAATTTGCACAAGTGTTGCATTTTTCCCCCCTGCAGGCTTATGAGGGTATTAGAAAGCCTTGCATTCATTTTGTTTAAAGTTACTTAATTGCATGCTTGTTTTATGTTGGGATTATTTATCACATTTTTATTAGCCTCCAAGTTTTGTAAGTAGTTATTGGAGTGTGCAGATATGGTAACAGTCCCTCCAGCATTTTTCAGATATTGATTATGAGGTGCATCTGAGGTTTTGCCTTTTACCAGCAAATGAAGGAAATTTCTATTCTGACAGTCAACATCAAAGTGGATTTTAACTTATTCCTATGGGTCGTGATGGCTATATGATCTTGTGGGTGCAAGCACTATTAACAGCTGATTAATTACTAAGCAGGGGAAGCTTGGTCTCAATTTCTCAAGAATTTCTTTTCTGTTGCTCCGATGGATTTCCTCTCTTTCTGACAAAATCGATCTCTTACATGCCCTCATTTCTTCTAGACCTTCAAAAATAATTCAGGGCTTCTGGATATCTCTTCTCTGAGCAATTCAAACCTTTTAATTCTATTCTAGGCTTCAATTCTAGACTGTTTTGTAACAGCCTATAGCCCTAAATGGAATGTTAAACTTTATAGACATTAAGTGCAATCTTCTATTGTCACTGCTCAGCAAACCATACTTAAAGATAAGTGTAAATAGCTAATAATTTTCCAACAATTGACCTTGTCACATAATATCAGCCTGTCTTTCTCTTTTGTTTCATTCTGATGATTTTTAATTGCATGTTCCTCGGACAAGTCAACATCTTTAGTAATCTCTTTTCTTGCCAAGTCCCCTATGAATGATTTCATTGTTTAACATCTTGAAATGTTTCATCAGACTAATTATTTGCTTCTTTATAGTGGTAGTAATAAAGAAAGTAAACCGTCTGAATGGTATATGTTTTCTGTGCTATGGAAGTGTACCAGTCGGAGAGTTTGCATCTGATATGAACAGTTTGGTTTGTCGCTGTATCCTCAAGCTTTTTCCCTGTCATGTACACACACAATGGTTTAACCTTTCACAGTTAAATATAATCCTAACTCTTGCCTATTGCTTTCCCCTGTACTTTCAAAAGTCTTTAAATCAATTCTAAAAATACGTTTCACAGGCTTCTTGAGCACATTCATTGTCTCTTTTTAAAACCCACCATTATGGGTTTTGTAATACTCATTCTTAGTCATATCTAGTCAAGGTCATTTTCTAATTATAGTGAGTTTTTGTAATAGCACTAAAAATTTACAAAGCTTTCAATGGAGCATAGTAAAAAGCTTTCAAGAGTACAGTACAAGTACAGAGCTTTAGTCTGCTTCTGACTTTATTTAAGCTTTCCTTCTTTTCCTCCTCTCATCTGAACTCATCTTCAGCTTTCTGTCGTGAACATAATTTTTAGTTATATATTGCTGGAAATATCAAAGTAAATCTGAAGTAATTTTACTGTCACATTAGGAACAAAGGGAATTGTAATGTCTATTTGTCCTATGGTAAAAAAAATTATCTTACAATGAATCATGGTAAGGATTTTCAATTAACTTTTCACATCTGTAGCTCCAGCAGCAAATGGAAATCCTATTCCTTTACTAGTCCCTTTGCTAGTTACTGATGAAGACGTTCATTGATTTATAAACGATTGCAATCAGGATGTTGCTACCAGTCCTGGCAAAGTTGTATCTGAAAAGGTTAAAGGCGGTCAAAATAATTAAGTGTGGCCAAATCCACAAGGGCCGTGACGAGGATTCGAACCTGCGTCCGAGAGCATCCCAGACGCTGCCTTAATCGACTGAGCTACGATATGGTCAAAAGGAGTTGAAACCGAAGTTCTACTGAACTTACTGGATCCTGCAGCCTCTCCGAGGCACAAACCAGGGTTTTACACAACTCCCCCCATGCACTCGAGCTATGTCAATAGGCCGTTCTCCCTCTTCAGGGGGAGTTGTGTAAAACCCTGGTTTGTGCCTCGGAGAGGCTGCAGGATCCAGTAAGTTCAGTAGAACTTCGGTTTCAACTCCTTTTGACCATGTCGTAGCTCAGTCGATTAAGGCAGCGTCTGGGATGCTCTCGGACGCAGGTTTGAATCCTCGTCACGGCCCTTGAGGATTTGCTCATTTGATGCATCACTCAATTGTGATTTCTGTGTGTAATTAAGTGTGGCCTTTGCGATACTACTTCCAAATAAGCCACTAGAAAGGGAAATTGCTTGTAAAGAGTAAACACCTGCAAAGATCACATAGATGTTTTACAAGTTTAAGTAAGGGACTACCTTGTAATTATTGACTTATTTAGCTGATGTTCAGCACTTGGAAAATTCAGAGAAGCAATAATGCAAGAGCCAGCTGGCTAGATATGACAAGTGTTACAATGACTAGTCTTAAGACTGGTTCGGTTCATGATTTACATACACTGATAATGGGTTATGCTCTTTAATAAAAACAATTATAACGATAAACAAGGAAACAAAGTCATGAACATTAGAGATTGCAAACTAACTTACAGATCAGAGTAAATTGCTCTAATAAGTAGCAAATGAATTTCACTTTGGACAAATGCAAAGTAATACAGACTAGAAATATAATTGAAATGGTCACTATTGAATGAATACATAGAGATAATGAAAGTACTGTACAGTAATTGAAGGAAAAACTTGAGGGTTACAATGGCTAATTATTTTAAGTCAAAGTAGAGATTGTATCAACACATTAAATAAGGCCACAAAAGTTTAGGCTTCATTTAGAGTTGTTAAAGCTTAAATAGTAGAAAATTATCCCTAACACTACTCAATTGCATTGGCATATTCCTTTTAAAATGTTATGCATAATATTGGTCACCATATTTGACAAAGAATACATTATTGATGAACGAAATCAAAATAGTGTGACATATCAATGAGAAAATGCAATTTTCTCGTTGATATTGATATGAAAAGTTATATTCCATTGCATTGGTCCAAATGATTTTCTTGTACAGTATTGATAAATTGGAAGATGATAAGCACTGATGAACAAAGCTTATTGTTCAATAATACAGTACTTTTATTTACGGTATTTTCTTTGCTATCCTTTCTTACACTGATGACTTCTCTCACAATCCTCTTGACTTTTCTGTTATAGCCTTTCTCTAGATTTGCTCGCTAAAATCTGTATTTTTGAGTCCATTTATCATATGCTAGATTTCAATTTCCTCTTTCTTTAGGGCATTTGCTGCATAGTCAGATAAAGTTATAATAAAGTTACATTTCTGGGGGGAAGCCCCTTTGGCTCTCTGGAGCTGTTCAGGCTGATATGGATATTATTAGACTTTGACATCAGTCAGTGTGAATGGAGTTCTTTAGGCCTACCGGGGACCACGAGCCAGAACCTGACCCAACCCGTCCTCCTCAGAGAGGCACGAGTAGCAATGGCCTATAGAATTGCACAAGTGATTTGGAGTATTCTATGTCTGCCATTGACCAGAAAACACACCCCAGAAAGGTAAGCATCCCAAAATAAACCCCTATTCTAGTTGAAACTACTACTGAAAGTCAAACGAGTGGACAGAACTCCCCAAAGAAAAACAAGGAAACGAGCATGACGTCACCACGTGCTGCGCCACCATCTGTTCAGCTCCCCCCCTCGGAAAGGGGGGAGCCACAGACCTCTCACGTCGGCTACCCACATCTTCAGTTCTCGGCTGATGTGTTTGAGTCTTGTGTGTGACTCCAGCTCCAGTTTCTTGTCTCAGTGTTTTGTGTTTCTGGGTGGCTTCATTGATGGTGTCCCACCTGTGTGCTTTGTCTCGGCGGCAGTATGAGGTTTCCTGGCTGTCCTTCTGTTTCTTTTTGTCTCTTCGTTGGTATATTTCACTTTCTATTCCGGTGGTCTTGTCCTTTCTCTCGTGGCTGTTTTAGGACCATCATCTTATGCCGATTACTGTCACCTCGTTTTGAGCGGCACTGGCGGAGCTGCTACGGCTTGCTTTCAATTTTGATGTTCCTTCTGCACCATTTCGCAATCTGTCACGGGCGTTGTTTCACCTCCGGCCTGCTCATGCGCCGCCTGAGCCATCCTGGTCTTAGGACAATGCGCTCTCTTATCTCTCTTCCCCTTGGTTTGTAGTGGCCCCTTTGGTTCAGGATTGTTTCTCAAAGGTTTCTGCTCCTTTGGGTTCTGGTGATCGGTTTATTCATTTGCAGCCGTTTCCTTCTTTTCTGGTGAGATTGGGAAGTCTGCTTTCCAAAGGGGTCCTTGGGATGTTGATGCTTGATTGGTTTGGCTGGGGGTGCATCATCTTGAGTCCAGTTGTGGCTTTCTGCCATTGCCTGTGTGCCACGGCCTCTGTGGCCGTGGACACGCTTTGGGTTGACCCGGGGTTCCCTTCGTCCCAGTTCCAGGGTTCGGGTCTCCTGGGTGGTCCACGGGGTCATTCGGTGTTGCCAGTTGCTTTGTTTTTGGGTATAGAGTGCATGGTTTCCACCTCCCAGGTTTATCCCTCTTTTGTCCTTGTCTTTGGGTAAATAGCTCCGGGGAGCTGAAGGGGCTCCCCCAGAAAACCATCGTTGAATGTAATGAAACACCATTTTCTGGGTGAGAACCGGAGACTTCCCGGCATCCCTCCCTCCCTCCAGTCAGCGCTTTTTTCACGTGTTTTGACATCCAGCCTTCGAACTGAAGATGTGGGTAGCCAGCATGAGGGGTCTGGGGCTCCCACTTCCTCCTCCCAGGGAGGGGGCAGCTGCGCAGACGGCAGCACGGCACGTGGTGATGTAATTCTCGTTTGCTTGTTTTTCTTTGGGGAGTTCTGTCCACTCGTTTGACTTTCAGTAGTAGTTTCAACTAGAATAAGATTTGTTTTGGGATGCTTACCTTTCTGGGTGTCTGGCCCGATCAATGGCAGAAATAGAATGCTCCAAATCACTTATGCAATTCTATAGGCCATTGCTCTTTGTGTCTCTCTGAGGGGCGGTCAGGTTCTGGCTTGTGGTCCCCGGTAAGCCTAAAGAACTCCATTCACACTGACTGATCCCAAAGTCTAATAATTTCCATATCAGCCTGGATAGCTCTGGGAAGCCTCTGGGTCTCAGCCAGAAAATGGCGTTTCATTACATTCAACGCTGGTCTTTTACTATTACACACTCTTGTGATTTCCAGCCTTACTATGAATGCTTTTTTCATCAACCTTAAACTTCTATCAGTATCTTAATCATTTCAATTGCTTATGATTTGTCTTAGACACCTCACATTTCTAAGATTGCCAAGAGAAAACTATCCCACAAAAGGAGAAATTGTCCTTAGTTTATGAAGACATTCACTTCTTTTAGGACACTATTTATGTTGTTAATGCTAGAATAATGCACTGCTCCCATTTTTGTTTTTAATTTTCACTGTCATTGTGTAAAACAAACTATCGCCCATTGCCTTTTCTTTATATAAAGAAAAGTGTGTACAAAATTTCTTTTATTAATAGTTTACTTTGTTCCTGGCCTAACACTAGATTAGGCAGCATTATCTTTGTTGTGTTTTATATTTTATTTCTTAGGAATTGCATCTAAGACTAGATATATACTCCTTTCAAGCTTAAGAGGCTGTTAATTGTAATCATGAGAATTTTTCCAGTTTTAGAATTTTAGGTATTGCATTTTATTAGTTTCCTTTTAATGAGCTTCTCTAACTAAAAGTAGATATGTACACCCTCACAGGTTACGGGCGCCGACGCCGTATGGTGCTGCTGCTGGTCCTTGGCCGGTCAAGCCTGATGCTGCCATGTATGAGAGAGAACGTCGTGAAGAAGAGAGACAGAATAGAGAGCGAGAAGAAAGAGAGCGTAGAGATAGAGAAGAAAGAGAAAAAAGGGAAAGAGAAGAACGAGAAAGAAGAGAACGTGAAGAAAGAAGAGAACGAGAGGAGCGAGAAAGAGAACGCGAGCGACGTGCTGAACTTGACAAGGATAGAGTAGCTCGTGCCTTGGATGCTAGTCACGATCGTGGGCTATCCCGTAGAGATAGTTCACGGTCTCCACTTCGCCCTGATCATAAGGACCAGCCTTCCTCACATGGTTCCAGTCAGCTACCACCTGGTTCAATGCCATCATCAAGCATGAAGACAGAAGGGCGGCCAGATTCACAACCTGGATCAAGACCAGGGTCTAGAACACATGATCCACGAATTAAACTAGAGGGTGGTAAGGATGACGTGATGATTGTGGGTGGAAAAGAAGCACCACGTCATTTAACACATGGTGTACCGCAATCTGTCTTACCCCCACCAGTATCTGTGGGAATGTTGCCTCCACACTCATTGGCTGTAACTATGGCCACCACTTCAGCTAACTCAGTATTGGACCACCGGGCTCGTTTATTAGGCCCATCTTATCATGGAAGCGGACCTTCACACCTAGCAGGATGGCCAGATCCTTTCAGAGATCCTTACCGGTCTGCACAAGAACAAATGGCTTCAGCAAGAGCACATGACCTAGCAGCCAGGGATGCTCTAATAAGGGATTCCTTACGTGACCCAAGAATGAGTCTGGCAGCAGCCCGTGAAGAACAGATGTTACACACTAACCCATTGTCATCATTAATACTAAGTGAACGTTATAGAGAACAACACCACCAGCAGCAACAGGCAGCCGCAGCTCGGGAACTATTCGAACGTACTCACCTAGCTGGAGTTCCAGGTGGACTTTACCCACCTACATCAGCTTTACTTCCACCTCATCCCTCAGTCTCTCATATGGCATCCTCTTTATTGAAAGGTGGCCCTCCACTGGGTCCTGGACCTCCCGGCATGCACCCACCTGGTCTAGGATCTATGCACGGGTCACATCCAGGTGCTCCAGGCCACCCCCAGCCACCACCCCTTGGACCTGGTTTGCCTCCGCCTCTCATCCCCTCCATGCGTGGCTCCTCACCGGCTCACCCACGGCCCCCGGATAAAAAGGATGACCCACGCTGACTCTAGTCATCCCTAGGCCATACTAGGTCTCAGGTGGTGTCCAGCAAATGCAAGAGCCCAGATTTAAGTCTGGGCTATGCTGGGCCACCTGCTGCTGCTGCTAGAAGCACCTTTACTGAGGGTGGTGCAGGGCGGGCGGCCCACAAGACTACAGTACAGCCCCAAGGGTTACCTGTAGTCAACGTGTCTTTCATGATGATCAGGCTGTGGATTGTAACACAAGTTTTGTACCATACCTGTACAGTACGGTGGTCCAGGGCCACAACCTCCATTGTCCTTTTATTTAACATTTTGTAGATATTCATTGTTTTTCCTAAAGTATTTTGTAGAGAAATTAAATTAATATCGACTTGACTGAAATGATCTGATGCAGACTGACAATGACATTTGTTAAACTGTTTCTAAATACAGGAGTTTGTTAACAAAATATTTTTCTTTCCCTCAGCTACTCAAGTCAAGAATATACCTGAGAAAATAGTATATTAATAATAAAAAAAAAGTACATGGATAATGTACTTAAAGCCTGTTTTTCTGAATAAGCCTTCTCTATGAAATTGTCATTTTAAATTATCCTAGACATTAGTATCATAATAATTACCATTAAAAATAGAAATACTGTATATATAATTTTGTGCTAGTTAGCTTCAACTGTTTGGGGCAATTCAATCATGCCATTGATGGACAAAAATGCATGGTGTTGCTTGTTTCAGCCTCCCAATCTTCATAGTAATGCTTCAGGCAAGAGTTGTACAACAAAAAACATTAATATTGGTACAATTTGATTTTGCAGCTTAAAGGCAAAGATGCCTGACTTATGTAATATTATACCTAGAAAGGAGTTAATCTATTGAATCTCAGTATGGAAATCTTAATATGACCAAAAAATAATTCAAGAAAATTTTGGCAGTCACAAATCCTAGTGTTTGACCAAATTGAAAAAAGGAAGTAAGCAAAAAAAATCTATTACATGATAAAAATAAACATTTCTGTTCTACCATTAATGTAATCTGGCCTTTGTATACCATAAGTCACATCCAGCAATCAGCTCCAAAATGATACACGTAGTGAAGTACTAAAACAGTCGTAAAATATGAATGGTGTGCTTGGAATCAGAACTACGAATACAGATCAGTGGAAGTAGAAATGAAAAAAGAGAGTAAGTAGTTCCAGTAAAAGTAAAAAAAAAAAGTTATTGAATTGCTAAGAATAATAATGAAAGAGAGAACTTAGCTAAGACATGAAAAAAGGATTCTAACAAACGTAGGAATAAATAATAATACATGTATTGTATGGAATTCACTTGATGGCAGATAAGGCTGTATTGAGAGTAATCCCTCCTTCCACATCATATTTTGTTCATGTTTCTGTAGCTCACAACTACATTTTCAGTTGAAACATTGGCCACTAAAAATATGTATTCTGGACCAAGTGTCAAGTAATTTTAACATAATTATTAATTCTAATTACTGTATGTTAAAAAAGTCTACGATTCATCCAACAGAAAACAAGAATTGATCTAAATGTCTAATGAGTATATAAATTGAAGGGTTCTGCTTAAAAATTCCTTATCAACTGACCTTCCTTGACTGCCAGCCAAACAAACGGTAAGTGATTGCAAGGAAAAAAAGCAAGAGTAGAAAAGCAGGGAACAGAAGGTAACACAATTTGAACTAAATATTTAAGAAACACGATTAAATCAAGGATTCACCATTCACTCCTAGGAAATCTACCCTAACCTATCCTACCTTGGCTACCAGAATTCAGTACCAGTAATTATATGGTGATGAAAGTTGGGGTAAGGTAAGTGATCAGCAAAATGGTACATATTATAGCAATGGGTGTAACCATCTCCCTGAATCAACTCAAGAAAAGAAGTAGTTAGATATAATAATGAATCACCATCATCCCTCACCCCCTACCTAAACCACTATCCCACACCACCCCTCGCCCCTGTCCAACTATCCAACTAATCCATTCCATTCCCCCCTGAATCACCACCATTTCTCAACACCCCCAGAACCATCATCCGTGACTCCAATATCTTCACCGTCACTATAGAGTATCTTCAGCACCCAGCCAATTCTCAATAATATAATCGCTAACTATCTACGATGTTACCGTAGATAGTTAGCGATAGTTACCGTAGATGCTAGATGTAAATAATAGTTACCTGTAATGCTAAAATCAGAACTCCTAAACCTAGGCTACTACCATTGGCTAGAATCAAAATATATCCATACCTAACCGCCACAAAAGCAAAAAAAGGCTACATAGTCGTACGTGTTTTTGAACATAATATTCACATATGGACCCCCTCGAGAATCACCATTAGCAAATAGAGTAAATCCCATCAAACTACGTTTCCCGTGGCAACGAGTCTCGTTTCTCCATAAAATTATCCAGCAAAGGAGACGCCATGTGTTTCCCCCCCCCCTCCTTCCCTCTTCTATCTCACAAACCTTCGCTCGCTACTAATGTGAAACAAAAAACTTTTACGAATCAATATGGGAACGATGGAAGTGGATATAAAATCCCTTTGACCGCTAGCTAGAGGGAAGCCAAATGGGGGGGATGGGAGGAGGACGGGTGGGATGGAGGGGGTTTAGAGGGAAGGCGGCGAGCAGTGTGTAGGGAGAAGTGAAGGAGGGAGGACGCACGCGCGCCGCTGGACCTGCTTGACAGTGCCTAGTGCCAGTAGTGGTGGTGGCACTGCTGGAAGTTCTTGACCCCTGACCCCCAAGGCTCACCACGACGGACTGCAGCTGTTTACGGGTTGAATTTCGGACAGGTAAGTTTTTTACAAGCAATTATTATGCTGTGCATAGGCCTATAGGCACCACAAATTCAATTCTTCGTTTTAAATGACGCTTTTCGTGACTGGAGACTCGCTCCTCACACAAAAAACATCCAAGTACACTACACATATGGAAATGAGAGTGAATGAGAAATATTGCAAGTGTCGTTACGTGAAATGAGGGGAAAAAAAATCCCACACACACCTGGAGCAAATGTTTACATGTGGCGAGGGGAGCGCTCTTTCCCCTCCCATCCCCTCCCAGCAGCTGGGATGGGGCGAGGGGTATTGTTGTCGAGTTTGGGGGTGTGGGGGGGGGAGGTCTAGCCTCTCCCCTCTGGACTATAGAAGGGAGAGTTTGACATCTCTGATGACTTCCTCCCCCCCTTTCCCCCCCCCCCCCCCTCTCCCCCTCCCTCTCTCTCTCTCTCTCTCTCTCTCTCTCTCTCTCTCTCTCTCTCTCTCTCTCTCTCTCTCTCTCTCTCTCTCTCTCTCTCTCTCTCTCTCTCTCTCTCTCTCTCTCTCTCTCTCTCTCTCTCTCTCTCTCTCTCTCTGACTTAGCGTAGAACTCGTTGTAGCTAATTCGATACAAAATATTAAATATAAATGTGATAGAAACGTGTGAAGTGAAATCTAAGATTATTTGGAAGATGAGGCTAGAAACTTAACTTGATCCTGCAGGAACATCTAGGTGTAAACACAAGCGGATGTACAATGTTTAATAACATAACATTTACGTGAAAAAATGTTAAATAAAACATGATTTACAAATGTAATGTACGCAATATTTAAAATATTGATAATACTGATAAATAATATTGTAAAAGTTTTCTCTAGAATTTCTAGATTCTGAATTAAAGATAGACAATTTGTATTCGTCCGAACGTAATTTTTGTGCATCATTGTATATAAAAATCAAATAGCATGAAATATGACTGCATTTTTATATGATTAAAGAATGATAGGTCTTAAAATGTAATTATTTCATCTCGCCTTTCTGTTAAGACAACATATAATGACAAATTGGTTATATATACTGAATATTGACTTAAACAATCATATATCCACAGTTTGTCCTGATTGTCTTGCCTTTCGAATATTAATAAGGTGAATAGGCATATGTAGGACAAAGTGTCATCTATCTTGTTTCGTTTCAATATCAGTTCCTTGTTATTATATTTTCTCTCCCTCCCTCCCTTTGGCTGTTTGGTGACAAAAGATATTTCAAAGCTCTCAATCTCTATTTCTCTTTCTATCTATCTTTCTCTCTATCGCTTTCTCTGTCTGTCTGTCTGTCTGTCTGTCTGTCTGTCTGTCTGTCTGTCTGTCTGTCTGTCTGTCTGTCTGTCTGTCTGTCTGTCTGTCTGTCTGTCTGTCTGTCTGTCTCTCTCTCTCTCTCTCTCTCTCTCTCTCTCTCTCTCTCTCTCTCTCTCTCTCTCTCTCTCTCTCTCTCTCTCTCTCTCTCTCTCTCTCTCTCTCTCACTCACTCTCTCTCTCTCTCACTCTCTCACTCACTCACTCACTTCTCTCACTCACTCACTCACTCTCACTCACTCACTTTCCTCTCCCTCCCCATCCGCACGTGTCATCAGTGACACTCCTGCATCTAGAGGCCAAGTGTCATTACATGATAACTTGGGTTAGCGGTCACTCAAAGGTCGTAAAGGTGAGTCGTTGACAGCGATCACCAGGTTTTTACTTGGGGGTTTGTGGAATCTCTCCCAAGTGACGCCCGCGATTAGCTATCGAGCTGTCGGGTGGCCGTGTTGTCACATTTATTGCTTGGAGGATAAAGGAGGGGCCTCTAGGGATGAGAATATATATATATAGGGAGAGGAAATTTTGAGGGGCAGGGGGGGGGGGGGGATATGGGAGAGGAAATGCTGGAGGTAATGGAATTTTCGGGGTATAGTGTATTCTTAAAGGGGGGGGGGGCAGAATATTGGTCCTGGAGGCGTCAGGGGGGCGCTTATTAGGCAAATATGGCCTTATATATATATATATATATATATATATATATATATATATATATATATATATATATATATATATATATATATATATATATTTTCATGGTTTGAACTTGCGCGGGGATTCAGCCTTTGCTGGCTTGTCCTGTGGTACCTCTCTGCTAAGTAGAGCTTTCTCGATGGCGGATAAGTATCAGTTTGTGTTTTTCCTGTGATTGAGGTTTGAGGCTCATCTGGCCTGCGATTGGCTGTTAAAACATCCGTCTGTGTGACGAGTTTAACTTGAGCAACTGGAGCATATACAATAAGACGAAGTTAGGCTAGAACATTAGTAGTAAAGCAGGAGAGCATATAGGATAAGGAATGAGGATTAAGAAGAACACCCTGTGATAGTTTGGCAATGTTAAAGGAATTGATAACGGTAGACTGGGGCAAAATATTGAAGTTCTTGCGAGGCAGGATCAAGTATAACATTTGGGGTTTACGGCTCATGCTTGGTGATGATATAGAAAATTTGTTTACTGATAATTATATAAAATATATATAAATGTAGTAATTTCCCTTGTAAATTAATGTAAATATAATCTCCAATATTTTAAATCATTTAAAGAAAAATAAGTATAACATTTAGGGGTTTAAAGTTCAAGTTCTGTGATTATGAAACACTTGTTTACTGAGAATTATACTACTGTATATGTAATGTAGTATTGCCGTGTAAAATTTATGTATATATGATTTATATTGTATTTTATTAAATAAAGATAAAAAATAGCTGGTAAGATAGGCGGATGTGACTAGAGTGTTTTTTCTTCTGCCACAGACATTATTTACAATGCTTATCAACATTTATAATTTTCTTCTGACCTACATGGATAAGGTTAGAGATCTGTTCCACTTCACAGTGAGTTATTTATCACTCAATCACCGGTGATTTAAGTGCTTTAGAAGGTTCTAATTATAATTATATGACATTACATAATTACTGCATTTTCAGTTGCATATATGCCTGGGGACCATTCAGGGTTGTTCGCAATTGTGTTCCTCGCGTGTGCCCCAAAGTATGAGGTGATTTGATAAAATACCATGCCCAAGATTACCATCAGAGTGCCGGCGGGATGATGGGGAATTAGCCTCGGCTACCATCATCTTTTGTCCGGTTGTGATGGTCGAGTGGTTAAGGGGTCCTGTACACCAGTTGCAGAGTGCTCCTGGCAGTATGGGTTCGAGTCACTTCTGGGGTGTGAGTTTTCAGTTGCATATATGCCTGAGGACCATTCAGGCTTGTTCGCAATAACTGCATTACATAATAAATCTTAATTACAGGTTCATAACATCACCAGGTTTTCGTTTTAGGTTCATTCGTTGATTCAAATATCAATTATCATCGTTCTTCAAATATCCAAATTGCAGTTGAATAAATTAAAATCAAGTAACTGGTAAAAAAATAACTAACTCAATCTCGATACAGATTTTGCTAGTGGAGGTTAATAGATCAATCAGTCTTATATTTCATATTCTCTTGCGTCAACAAACTGAAGGCGCGTCTGGGATCATCATAGACGTAAGTTCGAACCCTCATCACGGCTTTGTGGATTTATTCATTTCATGTTCTCTCCTGATTTCATGTATGACTAACCATCCTATGAAATGAGGTCATTAGATGAACTTATAACTAGTTTTGTTTATCTACACTGTGTAATCTTTCATGCAGAATAGGGTAGCAGCACATTGCTGTGTATACATAACTAAGCTTGTTAATAAAACAAAATACAAAATGGGTCTTCAGTGTGAGCGATAGATTAAAGCGTATGAGTGATAGGTTAAAGTGTAAATGGAAGACTGAAGAGTGTGTAAGTGGCAAATTAAATAGTGTGAGTGGTAGATTGAGGCGTGTGTGAGTTGTAGATTAAAGAGTGTGTTAGTGGTAAATTGAAGTGTGAGCGGTAGATTGAAGTGTTTAAGTAGTAGACTAAAGTGTGTACGAGTGGTAGACAATAAGAAACTTTAAAGTTCCACCACAATAACAACTCGTTTTCGGAGTATCATTCAGATACCTGTTAGAATACAAAACCTGAACAGGCCAAGAATAAAGATATCCTTACCAGAGATTTAATTATTTTAGTAATGAAGCAATAACCCAAGTAATTAAATATCAATAGTAATTAAAACGACGATGATGAGAATGACTAATATAATAAATTGGTTCAATTGAATATGGGATTATTCATTCAAATGTTTTTCAAACCTAACCTTTTATTGTCAATCCCCCTTTCGTCGCTGAACCCGATCTTGACGGACTGACGGTTCTTAAGGTGGCGTTTGTGGGGCATATACTCACGACGCACCCCTAGGGGGCCCCGGCATGATCGGCGATAGCTTCCTGTTGGGTGTCCTGCCTCTAATTGTGGCTCCATGGTGGGTATGGGGGCACATTCGTGGATGAATTTTTCTTTTCGTTTCTATGTCATTGAATGTTTCCGTTGTACCCTCTCGGGCTCGTGGGGTGGGCGACCAAGCCCCCGAGTCGGCCTGTATTGGAAGACCAGGCTCTGTAGCTCCCGCTGCGTTGGACCCTAGCTTCCCCTAGCTCCCCTCCCTCCTCTGTGGTTGGGTCGAGCCTCCAGCCCCCGGTGGTGACCACTTCGTCCCCTGGTGCGGCTAAGTCTCTCGTTGTGACTACTGCGCCTTTTGACCCCCTCTCTCTCTAGGGGTTCTCAACGCCGTTCGCGCCCCAGCCGCACTCGCTCGATTCCTTCCCGTGCTGATGCGTATCAGGCCTTGTTTGGTCCTGCTTCATGGGCCAAATACTTTGATCTCCTCCCTCTTGATTCTGCGCCTCCTGACGATTTCTCCCTCCATCGGCATCTTGTAGACTCCGTGGATGCGTCTGTTACTTTCAACCCCACTCGTCTCGGTACACGTGTCGTTGCTGCTCCTTCTCAGGATGCAGCTTCCCGCTTGGCTGCCTTATCTTGCCTTGGCGAGATCCCTGTTCGGGTCTCCAAGAACGTTCAGATGAATGCC